TTATCTATTCTATTGTGTCTCTCAGTCTACCATCCACTTTCGTCATTATTCGCATTTTCTCCTATTGCGTCGCTTAACGTTCTCGAAAGCTGCTGCCTCGGCGTGAATCACTGTCGAACGATATTTATACAGCTATCGATATTTTTACATATCGTCTCTTCGTCACCACGTATACGTATACATACATTTCCTAATTTCGTTAGGAGCCCGATACTATCGTATAGTTTTTCGCACGGGGAATCTAGGTCACGCCAGGGACATGTATGATATATATATATATATATACACACACACTATATGTATATCTATTTTTCCCGAAATTTCTCAAGTCTCTATTCCCTTCTGTCGTTTCCTTCCATTACCACGTGTCCTCTATCTGAATCACTCTTGACGATTTCTTCTATATATAGATATACCAGTGGCATGAGTTTACCACAGAAAATTTGACAATTTTTTTAATTTCTTGAAAAAAAAAAAGAATTAGTGTATAATTTCGAACGTTATTATATTTTATATATATTATCGCTATTGTGACCCGAATCCCGTTAGTGTACTCGGAGAAAAAATGCAGTGTATAAAAATTCCAAAAATAGCGCTTTACACCACTCAACGGAAGGAACGAATATAGACGTATGAATTTATCAAAATTTTCTCTGTATAAGTGGAATATAGAAGAATCTGTATAGAAGAATCTAAATAAGAATTTCTTTCCGCACGCGGTTCGCGTTCCGCGACGTCGTAGGCTCGATGCACGCATTTGAAATATCTAAGGCATTAACATATCCCCTGTATTTTTAGAGCGGCTGATTCACCGCGCTCTCAATAGTCTCATAGTTCCCGTAGGAAATGTCGAGCGTTTACGAATGGGACGCTGAGGGACGCGTCGAGACTCCTGGATCCTTATAAGACTTCTATGTTCCTTATGCGTATGTATGTATAATTATATAATTATGTAATATCCTATTTACATGTTTTCATCGCCCAAAAGACGCAATAACAGTTGTTTATTAAATTCTACGCCATCGCCAAACTGCTAATTTCTTGGCTATCTTGGGCAGGATGCTAGGTAGTAATTCTTTTTTTTACGTATCTTGTTTCTTATCAATGATATCGGAATATACTAATTGTGACTCGATACGAAAGTTCGATAAATCGACTACTGATCGTATGTAAGATTTATTTATTCAACGCGTTTGCAATGCCTACACGTGCGAATAATGCAATCGCGAACGTTTAGACATTTGCAATTAGCAAATCACTTAGGAATTTGTCATTGTCGTCAGTCGTCACCTCGTCGATGACTTCGATCAATCTTCCTTTTAAGCTATTCAGTGACTGTACGCGTTCGAATGATTAGCGAGCACTGTCGTAATACAGTGAGTAACTGTCGATAGAATGGATGTTGCTATAGAGATAATTAATTTTTCTTTAGTTCTGATTTCAATTTTTCCTTTACTCCAAAGTCGTGGTGGGAGCCGAATTGGGTGAATAATTTTGTTTCGCGTACAGGACGTTTTGGGACTCGCCAGCGTCCTGTCGGGGATATCCTTTGCAGCTTGCGTGACGTTCGATCGACAGGAAATTATTTGATTTTACTCCGACGACATTAAGTACGTCATAGCTGGGGATCCTTTGACGTCGAACTTCGAGGTTATGTTTGGAGTCTCGTGATCGTCCCCTCTTATTCATTCTTGCGTGTGACTTCCCTGCGGGATGACTTCGCGCTGATGAATAAGTCCTTGGGAACGCGAGAGAACACACCGGATTGACGTTAAATTCAGGCTGGAACGTTTCTGCTTAACCATTAGTCATTGGCCTTAAAGGGATTTCCATGATGCAGTTCACAGTCATTGAATCATTTCGCATTGTTGATTAGTAAGGACTAAATACTTATCTGCTCGTTGAAATTGTTTTTTTTTTGTGATTCTTCATAATAATTTCCCCGCGCAGCATTTGGATACTTCCTAGCTTGTTATTGCGCCGTAAAGTATTGGTGATATAATTATATACAGTCCTGGACTGCTACCTTCCGCCAAGGCAATTCTTAACTGTCAAAAATCACTCACGCACAAATATCCCCGAGCAATCGATCACCCAGATCACTAGTAATCACGTAAGGGACTAAAATAACTACGAAAGCACTTGAAAGAAAATTCAATCCGTACGAGTAAATCCAAGAAAGGAAAGATTCAAGGGCGCAGACTCCGGTACAACTTTTGAATGTTAAACCGTCGGTATCGTTGATCGACTCGGATCAAGAGAATTTCTGGTTATTTTAAAAATTCTGAGAAGATCCCCACAAGATGACGGAACCATAGTAGGCATTTGCTTTGGGCCATTAATTGCGTCGCTTTCATTATGTGTGTTTACAAGCGACTGCGGCGACAAGGTCGTACGCCGCCACGACGATTCGAACTCTCGTGAGTCTTCCTATTGGCGAGGAAGAGGAAAGAGCAAGCGAGTGAGGTGTATAGGAGTTGCCTCGTGATATAGAAGGACAGTGAATCCTAGCGAAATCAAAAGAAGGAGAGAGAGGGGGGAATCAACTGGAATAAACCAGAAGGAGAGAGAAGGTTCGCCATCTATCACTGTGTATTGTAAAACTATTCCAACGGAGAATGTGTGGCGTGCGCGCGCCTCTGTCCCCTACTAGGCTGACGTCGCTCCACGGCAGCCAATGGGAAAGCAGCTGGGTGAGTCATTGCTCGAGCCTCATGTAAACTCTGTTGCGCTCTCGTGCCTGCAGTCTCTGAGCAAATCTCGCGCCGACAGCTGTGCGGATACGTTCCGGTGCTCTGTTGCAGAGTCGTCGGAATATACCGATTGTAAACAAAAGTGTTTCGGGAGGATTCTTCCATTATTAACAACGAAGTTACGCGAAGAAGTTAACTCTGAGTTTAAAAGAATTCTTCGGTACCGTCCGTCTCTCAGTTGGTTAACGAACCTTTACCGATCTTCGGAAGGTACTTACTACTTTCTATCACTGAGTGGAAGATGATAGTTTTCTTGTGGAATCACGAGTAGCAGACCTATCGAATCTAGCTTGTGAAGAGCTAAAGAAACAATTTGAATAACCGTCAACTGTTTCTTAATACCCGCGTCAACGTGACAAATGGTGGAGTGAAGATTCAGTGAATCGCAACGATTTTTCGTTTTTCCTTAACTTTGACGCTTTGTGAATAATTGTTTTGAAATTGAAAAATGAGGATTAAGAAGGACGCACCTTGCTTGGTACTACGGCTGGTTCCTTTGGAGAACCTTGAACCATGGGGTAGGTAACAATTGTCTTATTGTCGGACAATATATAAACTGACTCACAGTAAGAGTGTGGCTCTAGTAATATATTTTATATTGAAACTCAGAAAGACGGCCCCTTGCAAAACATAATATAAGTTGCTCGTAAGCGTCAATGTAACGACTTCGTACGTTTTCTTAAATGGCGACATAACATTTTTCGTTGCCACTTAACAGTTTGTTGTTCCTCTTAAGGTTACTTTTCCCAACGTGTCACTTCGATGACTAAGACTTGCGTTGCTTGACAGATGCGAAATTACGACGTATGTATCCCGCATACCCAGAGATAATACAGTGTTCATTATGAGTCAATGATCAATACCTCCGACTACTACCATATATCTTTTAAATTTTCACTGAGTCGTACGAGTCAATAGCTTTTGGTCTAATTATCTGTTTATCTTGACACCATAACTATTTACCAATTTCCGCTTCCCTCTCTATGGCTCAAGGGCCGCTGGCAATTCACAAATTTACTTTGTATACTCGGTACATATTTACCAATGCAGTTCGGCATCGATCTAGCCACAGTATACCCAACAACCAAACCAATGCGATTATAATCACCGTGTACTTGTATAACATGAATGAAACGAATTGAAAAGAGCGTTAAACGAGCAATGACACATCTTCGCCAAACGATGCACCCGTTCGCTGACCCAGATAGCTTTTAGACATTAAATTATACATGGACTCCGGCTCTGAATATCTTTTCAGTCAAAATATATGAGTAGAGACGAACTACGAGAAGCATTAATAAGTAAAAATACCTAAGACCTATAATAAATGTAGAAGTAGTCTTGTCCATTTTTGGCGAAGACCAACGGCTAACGGAAAAACCTGTCTATCTCGCGTCCGGCGTAGAAGTAGATGATGACTAGGAATACCTGGTCAGTCACATTACGTCGTATCAGCTTTGGATTAACGTGGCGCTAGTCGACATACACAGTCCCTCTATACATAGATTCAAGCAATAGTATAGTAATAAAACTACGGTTGTAAACGAGCCCTGAGTTGCGGATGAAAGGAAGAGGAACGCCACTAGACATTCATGCTGTATACGCAGATAGACTGGATGGATGGACAGTTTCTATATAGATATATATACGTATTTGATGTATACGCGTGTAACGAGGATGGAATCAGCCGCGACAGTTTCTAATAGAGGGGAAGGCGAAGAGGCACGGGGAGGGAAACTGTCTGACTCATCGTCGTGAGTCCAGGCCACCAGCCCAGGCGGGACGGCATAGGCCAACCCAGAACAGAAGAGGACGGAGAACGAGGAGGACAGAGACAGAGTTACTAGAACTGTAGCTCCGCGAAGGAAGACAGTTTTAGCTTGTGTCTTCTTTTTCCTTCTCCCTGATAGCGTTTACATTATTTCACTCTATATATCACCGGATCGGACTAGCTTGCCCGAGCCAGGAACTCGATGACCGATGACCCTTTGGCTCTCTGCGCTCTTAGCGCCATTTGCTTTTCTTCCTGAACTCGCAGCGAAATCGTCGTACGCGACTACTCGCTCGCGCTTCGTGACTCACGAGTTCGTGACTCATGCCTTTTTTTTTCTTCTCGTTTCCACGAGAAGGAAAATTGACATTTCTTGCTTAGCGGCTTGATGTTTATTTTATGATTTTCAAAGTCGCGACCGAATTGCTCGGTTTGAGAATTTTTGTTAATTCGAAAAATATTTCCTTCGTTTCCAGGCGGACACAAAGAGTTTCACAGACGGCATCGAGAACTGTGCGAGGACACGCTTCTACCACCTAGCGGAGGTGCCACGGCGGGACCCTCGGCGGTCAGCGGATGTCCCAGTCCCGGACCTGGATGTCCTGTCCTAGGACTGTCCGGTCCGCCGACGCCGCAACCAGCTGACATCGACAGCCACCCTGCGTCCCGTGTTCTGCCCTTCCTCTACCTGGGCAATGGACGCGACGCCGCCGATCTTCAACTCCTCAGAGCACTCGGAGCTACCCGGGTCCTCAATGTCACCTCCCAGCTACCCGGATACCACGAGGAACGGGGCATCACGTACAGGCAGATACCAGCCTCGGATTCAGGACATCAGAACCTCAAGCAGTACTTCGAGGAGGCGTTCGACTTTATCGGTGAGTCACCTCCTAGACCGGAGGATTAGGCCACGCTGTTAACCTAGTACGGGAAGGCTCCTCTAGTACGTACCTGCCGAATAGTTGGGACTCGAAACCATAACAGACGGCGCATTACTGCGTGCATATACGCTACAGAGAGACACTCTGGCGTCAATGTCTTGAACTTCTGACCATGGCAAGGTCGCTGTACGTACGTTCCTCTCTTATCCTTGCTTTCTCTGTCTCTAGTTCATTCTCTGCGCCCCCCCCCCCCCCCTTTT